AAGCAAGGTTCCCACAGCAGGCAAGGTTCCCTGATCAGCTGCTTTCTGACCCTGGGCACGGCCACCTGACTTCCTCTTTCTGTGATCAGCTGCTCTCTGACCTTGGGTGCGGCCGCCTGATTTTTTTCTTTGCCTGTTCCTGATGGGGGGCTGGTGTCCTTCTTCCCCACAGTATATATACTCAACTTATGCTTAATAAAGTTGCCATTTGCCATTTGCTCTTTTGGTGAATGAGCTGGTCTCCTGTGTCTGTGTGTTTCAACCCTTAGGATATTAATCCATTTTCATGGGCTCGGTTCGGGAAAGCGCACGTCTTTTTCGAGGTCCGGATGTTCACAGAAAAGTGCAGGCAACAATGGTACTTTTCCCTCATTCTAGGTGGCATGGCAGTGCTCGGTATAGGGGAAAGCATAATGCCAAAAATCTGATAGATAATAGATATTCAATTAAACATAGCTAAATCTGAATTGATTGAATGGAATTTTCTTATGCTTTAATTTTCTTCTGCTGACTTTTGGTTTATTCATATATTTCTTCTCAAAGCCACAAAATGCCACCTACATCTGCAGTAATAAGGCTGTTTGTTTGTTTCCCAACTGCCCTGATTCAAAATAATCACATAGAAATTATATTATTTAAATCACTGCTTGGACAATTACTTAAGTGTGCTGCTAGCTAGCTCTTATATCTGTAATTAACACATTCCATTATTTTATATTTATCTATGAGGCTAGTGACCTACCGATAAGGTAGCAGCTGGCAGCTTGAGTCTTTCCCCTCTGGTAGCTTCATGGCTTCTCTTGACTCCACATTCTTTCTCCCAGCATTCAGTTTAGTTTTCCCCACCTAGCACTCCTCTACCCTATCACAAACCAAGCCAGCTTCTTTATTCATTAACCACTAAAAGCAACACATGTACAGAAGGACTTCTCACAACATACATCCAAAGAGAAAAAGTCCCTATTTTTCCACTCTTAGAATGTCAATGAGGATTTTCCCTCTTGCTTTTCAAGTGCTTTTTCTACCACTAACAACTTTTGTAGTACAGGAGATCTAGACCTTAGGACCATCCCTGACTCTCAGAAGCTGACTAAACAATTTTGTGCAGTGGCAGTATATAGATTAAAGATGTTGGAAAGCTTATCTGGGAGAAAGATGAACCCACTAATTCCTGGTTACTATCATTATGGGAGGCTGTTCAGATTTTCTTTTTTTTCCAATATTACTGTCATTATGGGGATCTGTGAAAGATTTGGGACCATTCTGTTCTTGCAAACTGCCTCAGTTATGGAGAAACTGGCAACACATACACATTAGACACCAAAGACAGTTAATCAATCCCAGCAATACAAATATAAGCATTTTTACACCTATTCCATGGACTATGAGACAAGGATGAGATGGTGTGTACACAGCTGAGTTTGACGACCCCATATTTTACACATTGTTCATATTGTGTCACTATCTCCCTTGGTTGGTCATACTCAAAATAACCTCAGAAAGGTAAAATACAGAACAAAGATAATCATGCCTTTATTTAAGATATTTGGAAATGTGAGAACCGTGGATAGCTTTTTCCTGGAAGTCATAATGCTTATAAGTGAAAATCTGGGCTATTTTTCTGTCTTTAAATTCTATGAAGACATATATACTGATATTCAGCAAATACAACATAGAGTACAAGGAGGTTCTGTATGTCTGAAAATTGGAGGAAAAACTACTTAAAGGTCAGGAAGTTCACCTTGCTATCTTCTTAGCCATCCTTGTTAGAACTGTTAAAAAAATATTAAAATTAAAAATATAGCAAGGGTCCCAGAGAATTGCAGCTCTGAACTTGAGTAGATATGTTTAAGGTATGTGTATATAAGCTTGAGTGTATCACTGGAGGTACCGGTGATTTTGAGCAATCTCATGTAACAAACATAGGTCTTTTGTAAGAGCAAAATATACTCTTAATTGTTGAACATTCTGTACAGCACCTTTTTTTTTACTTTTAATGGATGAAATATCTCTATGGTATTAAGGGCAGTTTATGAAATACTTGTCTCCGGTGATGCTCTTACTTCAGGCTCTCGGTTGGCTATGGTTTAGTGTATTTAGCATGTTCCTGATTCTATGCAGGGGATTTTGAGTCTTCCCAAGTCAAAAAATTAGTAAATGTTGGTGGACTTGCCAATAACATTGGTCTGGTAATTGTAATTTGTAGATGAGTATTGAAATATCACAAACATTTTATTAATAGGTTTAATTAATTTTGTTAAAATTGCTATAAATGTTTATGAGATAGTTTAGTAATTTAGCATTTAAGCCTGAGGTACTGTGGTAAATCTCCTGTACTACAAAAGTTGTTAGTGGTAGAAAAAGCACTTGAAAAGGAAGAGGGAAATCCTCATTGACATTCTAGGAGTAGAAAAATAGGGACTTTTTCTCTTTGTATGTATGGTGTGGGAAGTCCTTCTGTACATGTGTTGCTTTTAGTGGTTAATTGAATAAAGAAGCTGGCTTGGCTTGTGATAGGGCAGAGGAGTGCTAACTAAACTAAACTGAATGCTGGGAGAAGGAAGGTGGAGTCAAGAGAAGCCATGAAGCTACCAGAGGGGAAAGACTCAAGCTGCCAGCTGAAACTTTACAGTAGGTCACTAGCCTCATGGCAAAATATAAAATATTGGAATGGGTTAATTACAGATGTAAGAGCCTGCTAGCAACACACTTAAGTAATTGTCCAAATAGTGATTTAAATAATATAATTTCTATGTGATTATTTTGAGTCAGGGGAGTTGGGAAATGAAAAAACAGCCTTATTACTGCAGATGTAGGTAGCATTTTAGGGCATTTGAGAAGAAAAATATGGATAACCAAAAGTCACCAGAAGAAAAATAAAGCATAAGTAAATTCCATTCAATCAATTCAGATTTAGCTATGTTTAATTGAATATCTATTAACTATCACATATTTGACATTATGCTTTCCCCTGTACCAAAAACTGCCATGTCACCTAGAATGAGGGAAATGTGCCATCATTGGACAATCCTAGTCCTGCCATCTTTTAATTCTGTGGCATTAAAATTTAGAGAATCTACCAGATTATCATTTTTTAAATTTGCATATTAGTAAGAGTGGTTAATATTCCAGGTTTATAGACTAAGGCACATAGCCAGTGTAAAAGTGTTGCCATTCCCTTTGAACTGTATATCATCATCCTGGGACTCAAATGTGAATTCAAACAAAAACACATCCTGATCCCCATCCTCTAGCAGTAATGCCTAGCATATCACAGCTCTTGACTCATTGAGGATCTGGAAACAAAATTCTATATGGTGGGAGAGCTCACATTTTATGGAGCATGCTCCCTCTTGGATTTTAGCTCACTTTGTACTCCAACCCCTAGAGCAGTAGTGAATTCTGCCTTTATTGTCTTTGGAATCTCATTGATGCCTACAGAACAAGGACACTTGTGAGAGGATTCCTGAAAAGTTCCTCAGAAACCTAAAGTCAGAGGAGAGCTAAAAACGAACCTGGTTCACTAGAGAACAGAATAGACCAAGCAGATACCAATTGCCACTGACAGTCACAATCCTCCTGTGAATAACACCATACCATTTCACACAGGAAAACAGGTCTGGTGAACTCTTAACCCAATTAATCTTAATCAATAAAAACCAGGAGTCAGAAATTGGGCTAAAAACCTGGACTATGAAAGAACTGGGAACAGTCACTAGTTGCTTCCGACCTGTGTACTTCCTCTGTCCAAAAGGACCAAGATCCTCTCTCTAGCCCACCTTATTACTTCTAGTCACTACCTACCAAATGCTGGGATTAAAGGCTTGTGCCACCATTATCCAGCTTCTAAGGTCAGCTAATGGCTAGCTTCACCCTCTGATCTCCAAGCAAGCAAAATATCACTCGACAGTGAAGCTAATAGATTCAGCATGATCTCACCATTACTGCTCCCTTGAGCTTATAAAGTCACAGTCTGCTGGATTCTTGTTTGACTCATGAGACAGGATCTGAACAGATTGAGTCATTCTGTACAAGGAAGGCTTGATAATACTTCACCTGAATGAAGAGTACTCACTTAGAGCCTGATTTGAGAAATCCAGGAATCTGAGCTCAAGCTTCAATGACTGTTCTCAAGACTCTTGTGTGAACACATTGCAACTTCTGGGCACCTGAGAGGCCTCAGACCTCTGGAGTATCCCATAGAGAGCCAGAAAACCACGCTGGCCAGCTTTTTTCTACTCAGGTCCCTGGGTATAAGACCAGTCTGGAGTTCAGCTCTGAATCCTGACCACAATAAGAGAGTTTTTTACCCACACCCACACACCCCAAAGCAGACCTCTAGAGAATATTAACCACAATGCCTGGAGCGGAAGACTGAGGGTGGGGCCATGAGCCATGTGGACCTCTGTGCACTTGGGCAGCCATCACCAACATGCCAGTGGAATCCCCTTCAGAAATCTTGCTCATCAGTTAGGCCAGTGGTACCTGTGACCCTGACCACAGATGAAGCCCAGCATGGACAAGTGGGGAGTGTGGCTCCCAAAAATGAGACCTTGAGCCAGTTGACAGCACTTTGAATCAGGATGGGAGCCTAGGAGCATGGGCAGGAAGCAGTTGCTTAGTCTTCAGAGCTTGGAGAACAGGTATGTGAGCTTTAGTCAGGGAAAGGCCAATAGAGAAGAAGAAATGTGGTAACCATGGAGAGGATGAGAAGAAATGAGGTAACCATTGTAGATTTGTTTACAATAACTTTAGTTTTTACTATCATGTTGTAATATTAGTAATCTTGGTTTCAAATCTCATCAATCTGTGGTAGTATTCTTAGCGAAGTGAAACCACATATCAGAAAGACAGGTTCACAACAAAGGAGTAGGAGTTGTGTCTGCTGCTGCACAGGATGTTGCTGTTCTTCTTTGGTTCCCCTCATCCCCCTCATCTGTCCTCTTCTCTCTTCTTTCTTGCTTGCTTTTTTTCTTCTCCCCTCCTCTTTCTTTCCCCTCCTCACCACCCAACATCATGCTTTCTCTTCTATATTCCTTTTGCCCATCTTCTTTCACCCTTTCACCTATTTCCTTTGAGCTAGGCACTGTCATTATATTTGCTAGCCATGGATTCTGTCAAACTATGTGTTCCAGATAATGATACATGAGAAATTTATCTTCATTGGTCTGTATGTTGTACAGGTGCCAAGGACCACAGAGCCCTTAAAAATCACTATATCTTTTGGTAGTGCCATTGCTCCCAGGAATTCACCATCTGAGAATTGAAAAAGAATGTTATATTAATATGTTTTTTTCTTTCTGGAGAAAGGTAACAGATGTGGAGCACAAGGCAGGGCACATGATAGACCTGTACTCTGATACGTAGTTACATTACAATTACTGTCTATATTTTGGGAAAGACAGTCTAAAGACAAGAAATAGTGCTTGCCTTGGCCTGCCCCAAGGGTAAGAATTTCAGTCACTAAGGTATTCATAAAAAGTTATTGGGGTCTAGGCCTGATAATATAGAGTATATAATATCGAGATAATATAGAGTATAATATAGTATCTGAACCAAAGGGACCTTTTACAGTTGAAGAGTAAGACCCACTGTCCATTTTAGGTGAAATAAAGGAAAAAAATAGTGCTAGCATCACATATTGTGAGTAGAAAAATAATTGAAATAGGAAGAATGGGGCACTCAGTAGAGAACTGAGCTATTGAGCAGAGATAGGGGATCAAGAGGTCTAAAGTTCTAACCTTTGCTTTGAGGTATGAGAAAGGCATCAGAAGGACTAGTATAGGTGCTTTATGGTTCTATCTCTGCAACAAAACACCATGACCAAAGAGCACATTGGAGAGCAACAAGTTAATTCGTTTCATATTCTACATTTCTATTCATCACTGAAATAAGTTAGACAGGAACTCAAAAGTGAAGGATGCTGGATGCAAGTACTGATGCAGAGGCCATGGAGGGGTCTGTTTACTGGTTTTCTTCCTTTGACTTGCTCAGCCTACTTTCTTTCAGAACCTATGATCTCCACTCCCACATTAATTACTAATTGAGAAAATGCCCTACAACAAACAGGCATTTTCTCAACTGAGGATCCTTCCTCTCTGATGACGCAACCTAGTGTCAAGTTGACACAAAACCACCCAGTACAACAGAGGACCACCAAAATTGAATTGTGTCTTAGAAAATATGGTTCCAATAGCAAGCTGTATAGTCATATTTGAGGATGTGTTGCAAGCAGAGGTGGCTTGCTTGTCCCGGCTGCCAGTCTAGCTTACATCTGAAATAACCACACCGAAACTGTATTAATTAAAACACTGCTTGGCCATGAGCTCTAACTTCTCATTGGCTAAAGCTTACATATTAGTTTAACCCATTTCTATCAATCTGTGGCCTACCAGAAAAGTTTCAGTACATCTACTGCCAGTCGTGGATCCATGGCGTCTCTCTGACTCTGCTTTCTTCCTCCCAGTATTCAGTTCTGTCTTCTCCACCTACATAAGTTCTACCCTATCTGCTAGGCCAAGGCAGTTTCTTTATTCATTAACCAATGAAAGCAACACACAAACAGAAGGACATCCTACACCAAGGATGGAGGTAGAGATCTCCATGGAGTCTGTGACTAGACCCTGTGTCTAGTCAATGGACAGAACCTGTGACGAGAACACAGCCTGGAGATGTGAAGGAAGCTCAGGAACACTTATAATATCCCAAATCCAAGATCCCTGAGGAGGGAGAATTAAAGTGATCGAATTTAAAGTAAGAATTACCAGAAACTTCATGGAAGAAATTTGCAATCTTAAGGAATGTTTAGAGAATATAAATGCATAGCTATTTCAGAAATAGCAGTGAGTTTTAAAATACACGTTGATATCTTCATCGTACAATTCCACTCTACAAATTATTCCTAAGCAGGGACCATAATGAAACCTGTAACCAAGTGTTTGTAAGCAGGAAGGGTGAACTTAACATTTTTATTAATGACAGGAAATAGGATATTATACAAATGCCACAGAAGATCACATCATGGTATGTCCGTTGTAAGGACTCTAATGGAAATCTTCAAAATGATGTCACCCAGCAGCAGAATGTGGCATAAAGTTAATGCCCAGTAAAGTTTTTTGTTATTATTGAAACATAATTATAACAGTTTATTAAAATTACGTGTTTCTAAAAAATCTAGAAACATCAGAAAATCTGTTTAAAATTACAATTGTAGTACACAGAATACTTCTAATTTCATTCTTCTTACTATTTAAATATATTTAATGATATTCTTTCCCCTACCCCAAATATTTTCAGATCCTCCCCACATTCTTACCTACCCAATTTTATGTTATATTCTGCCTAAGAAAAAATACAAAAACAAAAGCAAACAAATAAACCATTAAGGCAAAAATATTAAAACAAAACAAAAAAAGCATACAAAAACCAAGAAGTTCATTTTGTGTTCACCAGTGAATCTTGGGTATGGGGCTTGCCTTGTGGGTGAATGATATACTCACTGTCACTCCCTTAGAGAAAACTGGTTGTCTCTTTGCCAGTAGTTATAAATTGCAAAAACTTTCCTTTTATTTTTGTTCCTTTAAAAAATAATACTAGTAGATTTTCCCCTAGACTCATGACCTATGTAACCTCAGGATCTTGGTCACTTTGTAATTCCAGATATGGATTCCATCTCATTGAGTAAGTGATAAGTCGAACCAGAATAGTTTGTATTACCATAGCTCCTGGGCCTCTATAACATCAGTATATCTTACAAGCAGGTTGCTGTTGCATGCCATATTGTGTGTAATTAAATTATGTTGATGACTATCTTTTTCCTCTGGTATCATGCAGCATACCTTCCAATATAATGAGTGCTAATCAATAGAGATGAAACACCAACTCAACTTTCCTGTGTTCAATGACATAAGATATCATTGACTTCAGTGATAAAAATTTACCATCAGGCTGTAGAGAGGAACCAAGAGTTTTGGCAAAACCCTAGAATGTTGCAGAGGGGATGGGAGGTCTTTCACCAATGATTCAACAAAATATAGTAAAATACTAGTACAGGGAATTTTACTCTAAGTCATAATATATCTAGTTTGGATGCTGTCCCGTCCCCACCACCACAATACCTGCTAACTATTTAAATTCCTTTCATATATGTGCATATTTTATGAAACTTCTTTAGAAGTAGGTTTTCATGTGACGTTTCAGAAGGTTTTTAATGTTGGATGTCCACCCATACCATACTTTACTCTTCTCTCCTATACCCTTCTTCATTTAATCAGGACCAACACTGTCATGTTGGACCATGTAACAACCACCCATTTCTATTCTCCCTTGCTCTTACTGCTTGACTTATAATTAGTTACCTGTTTCTCAAGAAGTCCACTTTTTGTGATGACTGTAATTTTGATGCATTATCTAAATAATTGAAAAAGAAAATCATCTGATAATACTCAGCATTTTCATTAAGGAACAAGATTATACTCTGATAACTCACCATCAAGATAAAAAGCCAAGTAGTCTATTCACAATGCAAAGCATGTTTATATGACATTCTATGTTGTTTATATCTAGAACATTTTCTATAATGTTACTGAGTCATAAATGGATCCATTTGTGGTATCTAAATGATGGTCATTTATATATCAGAGAAGTGTGTAGACTTTATAAGTTGCATTTGCATTTAGCCACTTCCTTCTCATGTTAGTTCAATGACTCCTTAACTCATTCTGTCAGGTTTCTCTGTTGATTGACTGGAATTTCATCAGGCATTTGTATCCCCAAGCCTATTTCAGTAGATCTGACAATCCAGAATCTGTAAACTATTTTTTTTTTTTGGAAACAGCCTAGGTGCCCCTCAATAGAAGAATGGTTAAAAAAGGTGTGGAACATATACACATTAGAGTTTTACTCAGTGGTAAAAAATAATGAAATCTTGAATTTTGCATGCAAATGGATGGACATAGAAAACGCTTTACTGAGTGAGGTAAGCCAGACCCAAAAAGAGGAACACGGTATGTATTCACTCATAAGTGGTTTCTAACCATAATTAAAGGTCTTTGAGCCTATTATTCGGGATCCTAGAGAAGCTAAATAAGAAGACGAACCTGATGAAGATTATTTAGCTATCTGTAAACTATTTTAAATGATGAAATAATAACTTGAAGTTTGTCCTTGTTTCTGACTCAAAAGTTTTGCCTTAAGTATGAATAAAAATATGTAATTTTTAAAAGAATTACTGACTGGGGAAGTTTCCTTACAATATTAAAGAAAGAATGCTTGCTTTTCTTACTAAGAAACAAGGGTTAGGTTTTTTTTTTTTTTTTTTTTTTTTTTTTTTTTTTTTTTTTTTTTTTGATTTTTGAGACAAGGTTTCTCTGTAGTTTTTGGTGCCTGTCCTGGAACTAGCTCTTGTAGACCAGGCTGGCCTCGAACTCACAGAGATCCGCCTGCCTCTGCCTCCCGAGTGCTGGGATTAAAGGCGTGCGCCACCACCGCCTGGCAAGGGTTAGGTTTATATTAGTAATATATTTTAAAATACCTTATGTATGTACCAGTCTTTAATCAGTGGCAATTGTCATGTTGATGTAATTGACAGTAGAGGACAAGAAGGAAAAAAGTGAAATGGTAGCCTCAACATACTGGATAATCTTCTATTGTAAAGTAATAAACTTGGAGAGCTGAAGACTCAGTTATTAAGGGAGCGTACTACTCTGACAGAAGACCCAAGTTTAGTTTCCAGGAGCCACATTGGGTGTATAACAATGGCCAATAATCCTAGCTCCAGGATATCTGGCACCTTCTTCTGGTCTCTAAGAGCACTAAATTTACACAGAGAAAGCCCATAAGCATACATATTCATGAAGTTATTTTTATTAATTTAAAAATTATTGAGAGATAAAATTTCAACAAAACCTAAGGATTATTGTCAACATGAGCCTTTGATGTGAACTGGGTGTTAGTCATTGTGTTTTGAATATTTTAGTGGCATGTTGTACTGTATAGTCTAACAAAAATTATGCTGATTCAATGAGATGAAAATATTCTGGGATGGCTTCCAGCTTGACACTAGAAAGAAATTGCCAAAATAGGCATTACAAAGGATCAATTTTCAGGGAAATATTTGTTGGGAAATATTGAATTTAAGGTTCCTATTGAACATTCACGAAGAAATAATATTCCTGAATTAGTAGCAAAAAGAAAGAATAGGACAATTACAGATGCCTATGGATGACTTTGCATAGAGCACAGTGCAAGTCATATTCAGTAATAACATGAAGAGGACTGGGCAGGCACTAAGCTGATGATGGTCTTAGACTAAACAGTGTGTGCAGATCAAAGGGAAAAGAAAGATAATAGTCAGAATATTGGAAGTTTCAGACACAAAGGAGAGGAAAATGATGTGAAAAAGAGGGTTCTTTGAGACAAAGGATGCTGCTGAACTACAGAATTGTTTGAGAGTAGGTTATTTTTGTCTTTTGTGCAGGAAGTTCCAGGAAACTATGAAGGTGACATTCAGAGTAGCCTACTCATGTTCCAAAATGAAAAACAAATAAATGGGTGCTTTGTTGTCATTCTGGGGTTCTTGGGTGTATGTATATACAAAGATAGGTGTGTCTGTATGTGTATGAATAAATAGAATGGTGAACAGATACTGTATTCAGAGAAACCACATAAGAATGAAGTGCAGATGGGCTATATCTCTGTAAGTGAAAAATCAAAGGAAATTCTCTCTGGGGAAGTATTATAGGGCAAGAGTGGCCCTGTGTCCTTGGTTCCAAAGAAGAAGGTGACTAATTGGGGACTGTACAAAGTTGTGAGGAACAACATCTCAGTCTATAAAATAAGGCTAAAACCACTGAACTTTATGTCACTCAACAATGTCACCTGAAATAGCGTTCCATTCAAAATTTCATTGGGATTTTCTATATTGCTGTCATGATTGATAGTATCAGGTACACATGGTGTGTAAGCGACTCCATGGGGTGCCTGCCTGAGAAGAACACAAGTCTTTAGAAAGGATTACCATCCACCTATCCTCAAGTGAGGTCACAGTTCCACCAATCAGGGCCAGCTAATGTTTTGACCCAGCCCAGCTGCCAGAGAACAGGCCCAGGTGCTTGCCCCACAGGTTTTTGTTTGAATCTCAGTCACTGTGGTATGTGTTCGGCAGCGGAACCGAGCTCACTGTCCTAGGTAAGTGGCTTTAATTCTATTTCCTATTCAGCCCAGCCTCTGTTGTCTTAGAAGGATCTGTTTTTTCTCTCTGAGAATTTATCATCTTCACTCCCCTAACTTAAAGACTAAATCCTTAGCCTTTCCATGGTAACTAGGGGAGATGGGCAATTAGAAGAAACCTGAAGGAATTGTCAGCATATCAGAAGCAGGTGGCCTCAGATTCTAATAAGTATTTTATGATCTCATGGGCTTCAGTTAGGGTCTGATCAGAGTCCAGGGCTCTGTCCTTGTTCTCAGACAGATTAATCATTGGGAATCATGGACTGGGTCAAAGAACAGGCACTAAGACTTTGTCAGAGCCCACAATATCTTCTTAGGGCACAAAGGTTTGGACCTAGATATGTAAGGGCAGCTTTCAGGGTCTTAGATTACCTAAGTGGTAAACACACAAGCATAGTGAAGGAGTAAGTTTGTAATTGTCTTCAGTAATCTGACCATTTACTGAGCTACTGGGGTCCTATAGATACAGAGACAGTATTGACTAGTTAAGTAATCAAATCCTGATCATCTCAAGATTATCTGGGATTCTGTCTATAAAGTCCCTTAAACCTGGGTTATGATGTCTTGTGTTTCCATTGTCAGCTTCTTTAAATGGCATATAAAACTTAGGAGGTCAGTAATGAGGGACAAACACGGGGTTTCAGAATCCTTCCTGGCCATCGGGGAAGGAAACTGTTTCTGTGAGCAAATGCCTGCTATGCTCTTCCATTCGAAGGGGAAAAACCTTCAGAACATGGCTAGAGTAATGGATATAGTGGTCAGGTCAAAATAAGCAGGAGTCACTAGAATCCCAGCGTAGCCTCAGACCTCCTCTGGATGGATCAGACTACTTAGTGAAAATGTAGAGTAGATTAATGTGGAGACCCTGCTCTCCAAGATTATGGGAGGCTCAGTGCCTTTAGGTGTTGGGGACAAAGAATGGGTCTCCTCACTTAGTTAAAATGCAATCTTCAGAGCAAGGTGGAATGTAACTTATTCACCAGAGAGCTCTGACTACCACAAGAATAAAAAGGAAACAGCTGGGCTGGGAAAGGTGATCAGATATGTGGCAAATTCCAATTTAGATTATAGACAATAGGGAGGAGAGAACATAGCCTTACCTACTGATAGTTGGAGAATGGGGGCAGAGAGGAAAAGTCAAGTTCCTGTAACTTGGTGGGTACTCCTGGAAAAAATTTGACTAGAAAACTCTTCACTGAGGCTCAAAAGGGCAGATGAGAAAGTTTCAGGCAATTAAGATGATGAATGTGAAAAGTCACTGAGATTGGATAGTTTTTATTTGGTCTCTTGAATCAATTCCCCTTTTTTTCATTCACACAGGTCAGCCCAAATCTGCTCCCAAAATCACAGTGTTTCCACCTTCATCTGAGGAGCTCCAGACAAACAAAGCCACAGTGGTGTGTCTGATCAATGACTTCTCCCCGCGTACTATAACAGTGGCCTGGGAGGCAGATGATGTACCTATCACCCAGGGTGTGCAGACTACAAAACCCTCCAAGGAAAGCACAAACTACATGGCCAGCAGCTATCTAAGTTTGACAGCGGACCAGTGGAAATCTTACAAGAGCGTTTCCTGCCGAGTTACTCATGAAGGGAGTCTTGTGGAGAAGAGTTTGTCTCCTGCACAATGTAGCTAGGAGCCCAGACTTCTCTTGAGCCTGGGGAGCCTAGAGCTAGGGGACCCAGAATGGGTTCTCTTCTCTATACTGGGGAATCCAGGCTTCTCTTTTACCCACTGAATATTCAATAAAAGATCATTAGTTAATCAGAGGTACTACCTTGTCCAATTTGTTCTCATTAGACATTCTATTTTGAATCCCTTGAACCTGCAATGTGGGAATGTGAGATCATGTTCCTAGTGAGAAATTAGTTTTTTTTTGGAAACTTTCAAAATGTATCACCCTAAAAGTGACATTTCCCTTGTTCTGCACTGTTGTCTGATCCCTGCCAGCAAGGACACTCATTTAGAATGCAGCTCAGGTAAACTATCACGTTTCAGGCTAAACAATTAACTTAATATTGCATAGCAAGTCCTCAATTTATGAATTCTTGCAGTGAACTTAGTAAATTTTATTATATAATTCAAAACGTTGATGTTCATGGCCCTCTATACTTGGGCCATGAGGTGATATAATCACTCAAGCAAAATAACAACGTCCAAGGAGAAATAATGGACCCAAAATAATCCCAGAAGGATACCAAATAATGTTTCAAAGGAAGTGATTTTAGAGTAAAATTCTAGACTACTCAAGGTCATGTCAGGTGAGGACAAGGAAGACAGAGTGTGACCTGAGAGTTAAACTTATGTCAGTTTCTTGGGTAGACTTAGGTCTTTACTGGCTCAAATGCTCTCGTGTGCATAAGCACACCAGTGTGTACTTCAGTTTAGCATCAACCAAAATCTTTGAAATTGGTCATCGGCCTTCAGTGGTCCAGCTTCTGTCCATGTCAGTAAATATTTAGTGTGTTCAGGACATGGGGATTCTATAGCTCATAATCTGTATAAACCCTGACTACATCCAGAACTCTGGTGGATCAGACAGTCCAACATGACAGTCTTCATAGCTAGAAATATACTTCAACAATGAAGCAGAGAGACAGACGGCAACATAAAGCTTAATCACAGGTCGCCAAATACCTGTTTCAGAACTAGGAAGAACGTGTGGGATTTGTGCCACATGGCAGCTTTTTGTTGCTATGGCATGAAAAAGTCTGTACCCAACAGTTGGAAATGAAGATCCTGGGTACTCTCACAGAAATATTCCTTGGTGGGGACAGTGCCAACACTCATCTAGACCGAGATATTGTTCAGAGACTACTACCTCAACCTTTTGTTTCAAGATTTCATTGACAAATTTGAACACAAAATTAGGAAACTCAGAAACAGTAATGTTCCCATATTCCCACAAAATGGCCTGTAACAATCCTTACACCTGGGGTTCCATAAGCCTCTTCCCTTATATCATGTTATGAAATCACATTCAAGAAGTTGAATCTTGTCAGCTATGATAATATTTCTGGGTTTACAAAGAGAATGTACAGATATCATACCAAACTTCAAAAGAAGTTATTGATTATTTCTTTATGTCATATAATAGTCAAGTTGTCATTAAATGACTACATGACATGACCCTACAATGTTTAGTAATGTACTATTGGTAAAAATTTCACCACATAAAGGAAGATGAGATGTGTATGAAGCTGACGGTTGTGTGTGTTCTCCACCTGTTGTATTCTGCAGGGCCCCAGACCTCTCTCTTCATTCTTTACCAGGCAGAAGGTACAGAGACTGAGTTAATGGTCCCAAGACTTTGCATAGACTTCATGCTTGCTTCCTTGAGCTGTCACCAAGGGATCCTCTCTATTAATTCTTACTCTGTAAAGAGTTTCTTTTAAAAAGGGTGTGGAAATTTTGTGGATGACTTTCTGGCAAGGATATCTCAGAGGACAAATGGGATCGTGGGAAGAAAGATCTTCCAGAAAGATCATCACATGCCCAGAATCATCAAGAACTACATACATCCCAGCTGAAACTGGAGGATAAGGTGCATGAAGGGTTTTTGCATGAGCCTATATCACAGTGTTGGGTGTTCGGCGGAGGCACCAAACTGACTGTCCTAGGTAAGTGACCCTTTTTGCTTCTGTTACTGTAATCTTCAAGGTTTGAGATGATTTTTGTATTGGATTATTTCTCATTCTCTCTTCTACTTCATGCTTCAACTTATCTCTAGGTACATAATCTCTTGCTTCTATAGATTGTGTGCTTCACCTCAAATGGTTCCCTGTGACCTTTCATGTCTAATCTCATAGGCAGGGACCAAAAAAGATAAATTCTCAACGTCTGTCTGTCATTCTGTTGCAGTATCCAGTGCTCTGATAAGTACTCCAGTGTGCCACTATCTATGAGTGTATATTTTTCTGGTATAATTTGGGAGGGGTAAAGTAAATTGTTATCTTATTGAGAAGGAAGAACAGAGGCAGAGAGAGAGGGAGAGAGAGTTGAATTAGGGCACTGTAGAACACTCAGCAATGAGGCTGGTGAGTAACTTGTCAGAGTTCAGATAAACTAGCCATTAGACTCAGGATCCAGTTCTTAAGATGGACAGGAGATAGAAAGTATTCCAAATCTTCCATGGAAAGTCTTGAACAGAGCAGTAACTTATCTAGAACTCAGAAATTTTAGTAAGAAGAAGAAAGGGAAGGGATCTAAGGACACAGGAATTCAAGAGAAGAGAGACTGAAGATGTGATTGGGAAATTGTGTTCCTAGGTCTCTCTAAGACACTGATTAGTAAACAGAGCAACTACATTCATGTAGATCTGGTCTTGAGGCATAAAAATAAAACACCACATCCAGAAAGGGGAATCTTGTCTCATTCTGCAGAATTAGAGACAGTTCAAGCAGATACATGCCTTGCTGAGCAGAAATCACAGACCCAGGGGCCATGATTTGGATGAAAATAAATGCCTAGCTATAAAGTTTAGTCTGAGCAGAGGTTTTTCATTAGAACTGTCCTCAGAGTGGGACAGATGAATGGTAGATATCTGTAAAAAAAACAGAGTTGATACAAGAACAGGGATTTAAAGGTGAGGTGTCTGTGTTGAAGGTCAGAATCCAGGGAGGTATCAAGTGAAGTGTGGTACAAATGTGAGGTACGTAATTCCTAGGTACACAGGAAGTATATGAATGAAATTCATACCTCACTTTCTGTACTCCCTTCAAGCATAGTCACTAAACTCAGGACACGCTGACACTACCTCCAGGATTTCTATTGGGAAACCAAGATTTCTTCTGACCTCTTTCTTCATCCTGCAGGTCAGCCCACGTCTCAACCTTCAGTCACCCTGTTTCCACCTTCTCCTGAGGAGCTCAAGACCAGAAAGGCCACACTGGTGTGTATGATCAATGACTTTTACCCTGGTGCTGTGTCAGTGACCTGGAAAGCAGATGGTACAACTATCACTCAGGGTGTGGAGACAAGTAACCCTTCCAAACAGGGCAACAAGTACTTGGCTACCAGCTTCCTGACTTTGACAGAAGATGTATGGAAATCTAAAAACAGTGTCAGCTGTGAGGTCACTCATGAAGGTGTAAAAGTGGAGAAGAGTTTGTCCCCTGCAATGTGTTCCTAGGCCTTCCAATGTTCATCTTACCCAGAGAAACTGGGATGAGAACAATGCAGAAATACTTCTACTGCCTACCATAACCCTTCTCCCTGCTCCTGAAATGCAAAATAAAATATTCATTCTCAACCTGTAATTCTATTGTACTCGTTTGTTTTAGTTGTATATCTCGTTGGTATTCACAGTAGTGTGGGAATTTGCTGGAACACCTTGGTTTGTAACTGGGGTGATACCCTGCATAATCTCCCTAGGGAGAACCTGCTCCGTGCAGACACAATTTCCCACCTCTCCTCTGGAGCTTTAATCATACCATGCAATTTTACAGTGTGAGTGTAATAGATTCCTCCAATTTCACTCTTTAATAGCCCTAATCATATGTCACCAACGTTTCTAAAAAAAAAAAAATCTATTGGTGCCTAACCATCTTGCTTAAAAGTTTAGTTTGGAGTCTGGGGCAGTTATATGCTATCTCAGTTTCTATTACTCAAATCAAAATGAATAGATAGTATTAGGAAATTGAAAGTTTATTAAATCTGTACAAAGAAGTAAAATCAGGCTAAAGATAGACCATGTGAGGTGTTCATGAAGGTTTCAGTATGGTTATATTCAGCCTTGATAGGTATATGAACTAAAAGAAACAAGACATGATATCCAGCTCAAATGCTGTCAAATGCATTCACTGCTGGATATGAGAAATTTTGACATGTTTCCACTTCAGAACTAGATTTTGGGATTTGCCATTCATCAGGGCTAAAGATTCAAAGTATGACTAAATATCTGGGTACCATACAAAGAACAAGACTATCCTAGAATCCCACCCCACCAGATCTCACTCTTTTCCTGGTTCAAGGCACCTAAAGTTTTGAGTTACCACAGATCCCTATTAGAAGACTAGGTTAACCCATAGCAGTGAAGACCTTGTTGAACACCATTGTTTGATAGTTTTAAGGACTTAGGGGCACATGAAAATGTCTGTACCAAGTTTCTTGTTGAGTAATAAATAGCCCAGGAACTGAGCCTGAAAATTCAGGACATACTCAAAACAGTGATCTGAGCAGAAACAGGGCAATGCTACTGGATACACACCACACAAACTCAAACTTCTGTCTCAGCATTAAAAGAGCATTCACGAAATTATGTTGAACAGCAACTGACTTTATTTCATGGTGCTGAAATTCTGTGACTCAAAGTTAAAGACCCAGAATAGTCCCATTGGCCCTATAGAGTTCAGTGCCTGCTCCATCTCTCCCCTGTTCAAGCTACTGCCAGAAGGAACACACTTTCATCATTTTGTTGTAGCACTTTTGTTGTTGTTGCTGTTTTTTCTTTTGAGACAGGATCTCTCTAAATAGCTATTGGTGCCCTGGAACTCAGTACATACATCAGGCCGACATCAAACTCACAGAGTTCTGCCTTCTTCTGCAGCCAAAGTGCTGGAATCACAGATATGCACTACCACACTTTTCTTGTTGTAGTTTAGTTACTGAGAACACTGACCAAAAATCATGAACAAAGGTAAAAATAGAAAGTTTCTATTCCCATCAACTAATGGTTGCATATTTTTTCAGTGTTGGCTAACGGATGCAAGTTTATGTTCAGCAAATATTCTACTTTTGAACTACCTTTCAAACCCCTTTATAATGATGC